ATAGATGGGTTGTTGGACCCGATCTACTTCCTTTATTAGTATCGAACTGACCACTTCGTCGCTCGCCGAGAGGTACAGTTCTAAAACATCGACCTCCTCGAGTCGGGTTAAGGTCGACACATTAGCGAGGTATTTCTTGAGCTCGTCGAATGCGAGCTGGCAGTCTTGGGTCCATTCGAACCCTTTGCTCTTAATTGCCTTAAAGAACGGCAGACAACGGTCCGCCGATTTGGACATGAAATGGCTCAGGGCGGTTATGTGACCATTCAACCTCTGAACCTCCTTCAACTTCCGGGGTGGTCTCATATTTAAAATGACCTTAATCTTATCCGAGTTGGCCTCAATGCCGCGCCGGTTAACGATGTATCCTAGGAACTTGCCCGAGATCACACCAAATACACACTTGTTTGGGTTCAGTCTCATATTAAACTTACGTAGAATTTCAAAAACAGAATGCAAATCTTGTATTAATTCATGTGAGAATTGAGTTTTGACGACCATGTCGTCTACATAGCATTCTACTTTTCTGCCGATTAACGACACAAACAATTTATTTACAAGCCTTTGAATGGTTGCCCCTGCGTTTTTCAACCCGAAGGGCATAACCTTATAACAGTACAGGCCGAATTCCGTGATGAAGGCAGTCTTTTATTCGTCCGCCGGGTCCATTTTGATTTGGTTATAGCCCGAATAGGCGTCCAAGAAACTTAGCAACTCATGCCCTGAGGTCGCGTCCACTATGCGGTCAATTCTGGGGAGCGGGAAGCAGTCTTTTGGGCAAGTCGATTCATGTCAGTGTAGTCAACGCACATGCGCCATTTGCCGTTGGCCTTCTTTACCAGGACGGGGTTGGCTACCCAGCTCGGGTAATGGACTTTTCTTATGAAGTCAGCTGCGAGGAGCTTCTCGACCTCCTCGTCGACCGCTTTCCAGCACTCCGGGGCTAGGTTGCGTTTATTCTGTCTAACGGGCCTAACTAYAGGATCAGTATTCAGCTTGTGAGTTATGAGGTCGGGGTCTATACCCGACATCTCTGCCGCAGACCATGAAAAAATATCTAAATTTTGAAGTAAGAAACTTACCAGTTCAGATCGTAGAGGTTCCTAGACAGAAGCACCAATCTGAAGCATTCGAGCTGGGTCTGCTACTGAGGTCGGAACTGTGACTGTTTCTTCTGTGGGCGTGGCTCGTTCTTCGCCTTCCTCTATAGGCCGCTCCAGTTCGAGGTCGTCAGCCACCTTGGTTTTTCCCTTCAGGGCGGCGACGTAGCACTTGCGGGGGACTCGAGCTGGTCGCCCCGCGCTACCCCCACACCGAAGTCTGTTGGGAACTTCATAGCCAAATGGTAAGTCGAGAGCACCACCCGTAGGACATGGGTGATCGGTCGACATATTATGGCATTGTAGGGGGAGGGGGTTGCAACCACCAGGAAGTCGTGTTTGAATCTGACCACACAAGGCCATGTGCCAACTTCCATAGGTATTGTTATTTTCCCAAGGGGCCGGACATCTTCTCCGTTGAAGCCCACCAAAGGAGTGTCTGTAGGCTTCAGGTCGCCTCTCTGCAACTGAAACTGGTCGAATGCAACTTTGAAGAGGATGTCGGTCGAGCTGCCTGAGTCAACGAGTACGCGCTTGACCTCGAAGTCATTGATTCTTAACTTTATTACGAGTGCGTCATCGTGGGGATAGTGGACCCCTCGCGCATCATCTTCTATGAGGAAAATTGGCTCTTCTGTCTTTGGCCGCTTTGGGGGGTTTTGTTCCTCCCGGGTGGCCTCACGAACTGACGTCCGAGCTGCTGCTGAAGTGCAACCCGCAACGATCGAACCTCCCACTATCATGTGGATGGTCCCCCGAACTGGCCTCTCCTCCGGAGGCTGCCTCTGCAGTTGTTCGTCCGGCCTGTTGCTGGACTCGGGAGCATCCTTACCGTGCTCCCCTTGCCGACCTGTTTTATTACTATTGTTATTGTTATTTTGTACAAAGTTTCTCAAATATCTGCGATGGATTAGCTCCTCTATCTCGTCGCGAAGGTTTTTACAACTCTTAGTACTGTGACCGTGATCTTTGTGAAAACTGTAATACAGATTCTTATTTCTTTCATTGGGATTTCCCCTCAGATGGGGTGGCCACTTCACGTACGAGGCGTCCTTGATCGCCATCAGGATTTCGGCCCGCTTCACGTTCAGTGGGGTGTAATCAGCTCGGTCCGCTAGAGGAGCTTGGAACAATTGACCCGGCTTTGCCCCTCGAGCTGTATCCTTTTTCTTTTGGTTGTCCCCTTGACTGGAAGGCTCTCCTTCCCTCTTTCTTTTTTCGAGCGCGCCCTCGCCCTTTTGGTTGATCTCCTCTTTGGTGGCTATGAACCTGTCCGCGAGCTTCAGAAACTCGGTTATGGTCGCTGGCTGGTTGACGACCATGTGCCATTTGAACTCTTTGTGTGTGATGCCTTTCTTGGCTGCTGCAAGGTGTACGACGGGGTCCAAGCGCGGTATTTGCATATAAGCATCGTTGAACCGCTTGATATAGCCCCAGATGGACTCTCCGTCTCTTTGCACTATGCTGAGGAGGCTTTCTTTAGTTCGCGGGCACCGTTTGCTGGTGACGAAGTGGGACGTGAAGGCTTGTGCGAACTGCGCCCAACTTCTTATTGACCTAGGTGCCAAGTTTCGGTACCATGTGTGGGCTGCTCCTCTAAAAGTAGTGAAGAAGGCCACGCACATGCACGACTCACTGGCTCTCGCCAGGTGCATCTATGACTGAAAGGCATCTACGTGATCATTTGGGTCAAACGACCCGTCATACTTGTCAAGAGGGGGGAGCTTGAAGTCTTTGGGCATTGGGACTGTCAGGAGTTCGGAAGACAAGGGGGATGGAACTAAGAGGAGGGGAGCTTTGACTTCAGCCGAGCTTACCTCTTCTTTGCCCCCGAGCTCGAGCAAATCGCGGGTGACAGATCCGCGAGCTCGGCGACAGCGCCTCTTCTTCTTGGTGGGCTCGGCGTTCGTGCTGCTCACCTCTGCGCTGTCCGGAATGGTTTGTGCATGAAGTAGCCCGGTCTGCTGGTGATGGCTGCGGACAGAGGGATCCTGCTTGGAGTCTATTGCCAGGATCTCGAACCGGTTCTCAAGGAGCGGGATTTCAAACTTTGACTGCAGAGGTGATGTAGACCTGGCGAGCTGGGGTCCTCCCGGCCTGTCCGCCTGTGGCAAAACCGGGGTAGCCGGTCTCTCTCGTCTGCCGTGGGGGGAGGCCTAGTTTTTTGGGAGGTTTTGGGGGGCCTCTCCTTGGCCAGAGGGGCGCTCGTCCTGGCGGTGAGACTTAGCTTGTTGCGAGGCTGGGTGCCGGGGCGGGAACTGCGGCTGCTGAAGTTGAAGTTGAGGCAGCTGGGGGAACTGTTGTTGATACTGATACTGGGAGACCTGGTGTAGCACGTGTTGTTGATAGAGCTGAAGTTGCTGGAACTGTTGCATTTGGGCCTGCATGGCCTGCATGCACTGCATCAAGTCCTCTAGTTGGTTCGGGCTGGCCGTTGGGGGCACGACCGAATGTTCGGTGAACGTCACTCCGACTGTAGCAGGGAGTGGGGCGATGACAGGTGCCACTATAAGAGGCACATTCAAGCTGGGGATTCCGTCAACCGAGAAGGGGACGGTGAACTATCCGATACAGACAATAGGAAGCTGGGGTTGTTCCCTAGAGTTATCCATTTTTGTGCTTCGTCCGACGTTGCTAGAGGAAGCCATGAGTGTTGAATTTTTTCAAGGAAGAAAAGAACTGTGAAAGTTTAGAGAGAAAGGCCTTTTGAAGCGTTTCCCACAGACAACGCCAAATGATGTAGCGCGATCCGATCACTCCTAGCTGGCACTCGCGTGGCTCCTGAGAGGTACTTGAGACGAGAGGAAAAAGAAGAACTCCCGGGGGTTTGCCCGGCGAGAACACTCCGATGATTAAGTCAGTATTCTGTGCAAGAAGCAAAGGGAAAATGAAGGCTAAGAGTGCAGATTGCATAGGTGATTCGAAGATACCTTGTTCCTTGAGAATAAGCCCCTTATAACAAAATTTCGTTGCTTTAGGCCCTCTGGCTTCTGACAGGGCAGGTATAACCGCCACTGTCAGTCAGCCATAGCCGTTACAGGCAAGGCTAAGGTGGCACGCGCGGGGCCGTCGTTGCAGGATACGTGCCTGTCAGGTGCGAGACACCTTTCTAAAGGTGATAGGCACGACGCTATCTGACGAGGGACATGTCTGTTGTCCACAGATTTGTCAGGTACGGCGGTCGAGCATGAAGCCTTCCTGTGGTATACCGAACTACCCTTCCGTGAATTACCTTGAGCCGGGCCGTCTCTTGAGTGACGAGCTGCTTGTAGCAAGTTATGTCAAGCTGGCTGACCCGAGGTGTCTATGCCTCGGGGTGTCTAGAGATGGATCGGTGCGTTACTGTCTAGGAATGGCCCGAGGTCCATTGGGAGGAGCTCGGGCCTTAAGAGAGGTCAGGGCGCCCTGAACTTGGGACGCCCCGAAGTGCCTTAACCCCGGGGAGGAGGTGCGGGTAAGGCGGCTTCCGACGAGTAGTATACTCGCCCAGTTGCCGAGCTGAACTCGGTGGGACTTTCCCTCCGAGTTGTGGTCACGTCCATTGCGCTGTCATGCTGAGTAACTATTTGAGCAAGGTCACGCCCACGTGTATTTGTGCTGCGAGGTCGGGCCAAATCACCCTCGATCAGATTTGATTGGAAAGTGAAAGCATCCCAACCTGCTTCGTCTCTCGTGTGTAAGAAATACAAAATAGTAGCATGTTTTGAAAATTTGAAGAATAGTTAAGGGCAAAAGAGTCATTTAGGGGTATTTTTTTAAGTAGGTTCTTAAACCTCAGGGGCTATTTAAGCAGTTGTCATATAGTTTAGGGGCACTTTTATCTTCTAAAGTAGGATAGGGGCGTTTTCTATATTTGTCCCGCTACCCTACCGGCTACCGATATGGCATGGCGATACGCTCATATTCTGGTTAAAGTAATTTCAGAGAAGTGATTCGTGAAGGGAGGTTTTTAGTATTTTATTTACCGCGAAATGCTTTCCCAGCCCTCTGACCATAGCTGTCAGCTGTCAGCTGGACGACTTCGCTGAGTTCGCTCTTTCTTGAATATATGTTTCTGGATCGTACTAAGACTTGAGCTTCCTTGTTCAATGCAGTCCGCTAAACCAGGGATCGTTAGTTTTCCACGTCTGTTAATCTGTTATTCCGCTGTTTTCTTTCTACTCCATCGAGCTCTTTGGTTTATGATGCCCTGTTCTGCATTTCGAACTCGGATTCGACCATGGCTCCGGGATTACGATAAGATTCAATCCTTTGCTGTTTTTCTCATCCACATTCAAGTATGTTATTGTTACTGCTCCTCGACTAGGGTTTCATTTCGCTTGCTTTCTTATATTTTTGATTTTTTGATGTATTCCCATGAACTGTTTTTTATTACATTGTTTACTTCTGTTCTTGCTCATATTTCTCGTTTGCATCCTCACTAATTTGGTTTTGATCCGAATGTTTGCTTCGATTGTTCTTTATTTTGCGAAGCTATATATTAAATTTTGGTGAAACTGGCATCTTGTTTTTCGTCATATACATTCGTTTTTGAAATTGCTGATTATTTCTCTCTGGTTGACGTTTGGATTTCTGTGTTCGCTTTCTATATCAGATCGGTTGTGCATTGGTCGGATCTCTTGGAGCATTGTACAACGGTGTGTTACTGATCAATTTGGCGATAGCATTATTTGCCCTTGTTGCAATAGAGAGTAGCAGCCAGAGCCTTGCTCGTACCTATGCCGTTCTTCTTGGTTGTGCTATCTTCCTAGATATATCGTGGTTCATCCTCTTCTCTCACCAGATATGGTGCGTCCAACGTTGCTCTCTCTTCTAACGCCATGTGTTTTTGCTTATCACATTTAGTGGCACGCTGCAAATTGATTCTCTAGTTTTTGTATTCCTTAGTATTACCCTGGCTTCAGGACTTCTCATTGTAGCACTACACAGTGGTGTGTTGAGCATATTTGAAACTAGTCAGGTTTTCAAAGGGAGGGGTTTTCAATTGGATAATATTTTATATAATGTAGTATCATGGTGGTTTGTAGTATCATGGTTCCATGCTGTTTATAAGCTCGGTCAAGCTAAAGAGTCAAGAAATCACTACCTGATAAAACAGGGGTGAGATATAACTTCCTTGCATAGTCCTGAACATTTTAGATTTGTTTTACAGGAAATTTAACTTTATGGATTTCATAGTTTTATAGTTTTCTTTACTTTTTCTCATGATGTTGTTTTGAGAGAAATCAGAAATAATAGACCATTCAAACTGAATCAAGTTACACTTTGAACAAGTATGGATTTATGATTGAGAACATTGACACCCCATCAAAAAATTATGAGTAAGAACTTTTAGATAGGAAATATCCAATTCATCAAATACCATTTTGTAATACGAGTTCTATTAGCCATTGCTTTCATCATCAGATGCATGCAACTATTCAATTAAATATTCAAGCAGTAGAATGAGCAGTTAGTCAGCTACTCAGTTACAATGTTCGTAATGGTAAAGGAATGAGCAGTTACATTACGTGGGTCATGAACCCATGTCAGCATGAATCATTTATCTTTTTCCCAGTAATTTCCTTTTTTGGGAAGAAAGTGAAATATAAGTTGTATTACATTGCAAAAAATTGTAAGCATCTACGTACATCAGTCATGAATATGGTTGTTGGCCATTGACTTGATATATGAATTATGCTACTGATCCATGCTTAATGTAGGAAATGTGAAACTAACTATTTTGCTGAATTCCTTGGACATCTTCAATATCTTGTCAGTTTATTAGTTATAGCAAATAATGTACTCAATAAATTCAGAAAACAACACAAAAGCCACATTCCTTGATATGGAATGGTTATCCCAGAACCTGGCTCCTCAGTTCTTTTTTGTTGGTTGGAGTTGTGCCTTTTTGTTTATTCACTGTATAGTGTCTCAATTCACATGACCTATACTTAAGGGATGACATATATTATGGCCTGGGTTTTCTGCTGTACTAGTTTCTGATTCACTTGCCATTGCCTGATTTTGGTTTGCTCTATACATTTTTTGCTTCTCTTTAAGCTATGTTTGGTTTGAAGGAAAAGGTAGGGAAACCTATACAAGGTTTGTAAAGGTTTCCCTGACTTTCCTTTCCTTTCCCTACTTTTTCCTTCAAACCAAACATAGCATTAGTGAAACATAATTTCTTCATCAACAAAGAAATCTTTATACTAATCATATCTAACTATCCCTGCTAATACTACATATTTTTTTTTACTTCTGTAATGCTAAATGTTTCAGTCAGGTTCAACCTTTGGTGTTGCCATAAACTTAGCTATGCTTGAGATTTGTTTCTTCCTATATTGACACATGACATGGAAATCTGTATACTCAGATTATTGCAATGACTAAGGAGTCATTGTTTTGTATTGCATTCTATATATTCTCTATTATCATCATGCTATTACAACTTATCTATTTTTAGATTGTAGTCTTGTGTTTTCTAGAAATGGTATGCACTTTTTGACTTATATTTTTGTATAGGAATATTTCTCCTAAGAATTATGGAGCCTTTTTCGTCTTTTCACTGAGACTCGCTCTATTCATGCAAATTGTTGGGTTTTGTGTGAGGGTGGCTTCTTCATTATTATGGATTCGAATGTACAAATTGGGTGCTTCATATGAAGACAATGCACTCTCTCGAGAAGCAGATTCGGATTTAAGAAATAGTTTTTTGAATCCCCCAGCTCATATTATGGTTAGACAGAACTCTGATTGCGATGTCTTTTTAGGAGGATCTATTTATGACCCAGCTTATTACTCATCTCTCTTTGAAGATGCTCAAGAAAATGGATCTCTGGTATGAGATATTTCATTTATATATTTGATGGTGTATGTTCTGTTTGAATTGATTATGTTCTTATCAATTTTTAATCTCATGTTATTCAGATATAAGTTGATATCTTTATTTCTTTTATAGTTGTGGTTTGTGCCTTGAAGTTCAATTTAAGCGTAGCTGATAAAAAAAATTTCAATTTATGCAAATTGTAATTGATGCAATGTGCCACTCTAGACATAGAAATACATATAAAGAGAAATATGCTACATACAAATAGCATTATTAATCAAAAGAATAAGCATTTGATTGTTTATTGTAGTCAAAATATTTCTTGGCAAATTGCTACTGTTTTTATAAATACACTGGTTGTTTTGAAGACTAAATCAAGTAGAATTGACATTGTGAACATGGAGGTATTTGGGACCAATGGGCCTGGTCTGGGTACACCCAGAATTGCCCTGACAAGAAATATTAAGGAACCAGAACCGAATTTTAGACCAGAACCGAACCAATCGGCTCTTGGGACAATCAGGTCTGACCTGATGGACCTGATTATAATAAATCTGCTGAAAATATTATACAACTAATATATTGTAATTTAATATATATTATGGATAAATGCTTCATCCATGATCTGGTACCGATGGGTTGGTTCCATTTCCTGATCTATTATCCTAATTATTATCAGTTCGGAACCGGTTCTACCCAGTCCCGAACCGACTCAGACCCGACCTGGCCCATTGACAGCCCTATGTTGAAGCTCTTTTTTTATTAAGATTTACAATGAGATATTACTGTTTCATAGTTTTTTTTGGCAGGAATGAAACAGATTACAGGCTTAGGTGAGAATAACTAGCGAGTTCTACACAACGCACACACATGATAGCAACCAAATAGAAAACAGAGTCCTTGATATAGATGAAATGAGGTTATTGGGGAAAGACTCGAACAATAAAGCCTAAGTTGTGCTCTTAGCCGGTAGCCACTTCACTGTGCTCTTAGCCTACTCATAAACAGAGTCCTTGATATAGATGAAGCATTTATCACCAAATCTAGAAGTTTATACTCTTAATTTTTTAACATCCTAATATTTTCAGCTATTTCTCAAATTTATTGACATTCTGAGGTGACACTTGACAGAATCCATGTGATTTTCCAAATATTCCAATGGTTCCTTCTTGTGAATTCTAAGTCAACCTCTTTTTTTTTTCTATTTTTTTTATCATTAACTGTTAGTACTTTAATCAATTGTGGAAAATAATGATTTACAAGAAATATGTGCCTAGTGCCCTTCCCATTGGTCCCAATTTTTACAGTCTTTTACACTCATCAATCAGATTACAGGGGGATGTTCCCCCAATACAGCTGTTCCTTTTGTGCCTCTTTGAGTTAGTACTAATTCCTTCCAAGTTTCCAATCAGGGGATAAGTCTGTGATTGCACATTTACAGTCTTTTACACTCATCAATCAGATCCTTTATTTTGGTATATGGGACACTATGGTGTGATTATATATTCCATGCATTCCCTTTTTGTTCATTGATAATGTGCTTCCTCATTTGTTTGTGTGAATATGCAATCGGGGGGGGGGGGGTAGAAAACCTTCATGCAGGATAAGACTCATAAGGAAATGGCAAATTGCTCAACTCAAGTGTCCAATTCCTTGTGCCTTTTTTTTTCCTTGGGGGTATAAGAATCTCCTCATTCAACCTTCCAAGAATTGGAAGAAAGAGATAGGATCAGCTGGATGGAGAAAATTAGATGATGCAGGATTTGGAGAATGCTAGAGGAGGTGGGTTTCCATGGAAACCAGATAAGTTCATAATAAAATAGAAAGGGTTGATGTACTGTACATGAAATACATGTAGAGGTGGAAAGGGATATTAGGAGGGGGTTTATTAGATCTGCTGGTCCTAATTGGTAAGGTGGTTTCTTCTCTGTAGTGTCATTTGGTGGTGTTTTTTTGGTTGGATGGTTGACTCCTTTTGTTTTACTGATGACAGTAACTGAAATATTTTGTCAATATGAGAAAGTGTATATTTCATTTCTAGTTTTCTTAGTTGTTGGTTTAAGTTTTCATTTGTCCTTTTTTTTTGGGGGGGGGTGCTTAAATGTACATGTGTGCTTACTGTAAGGGGTTTTGGGTTGGCAGTTTTTTTTTCTTGGGTGCAATTCTGTGGACATATAACATTATATGGACTCTGTTGATATTCCATTTAATTTGTTTCAGACATTGATGATTCAATATCTACTTTCATTTTGGGTTTAGGAGTAAAGTTTAGTGTTCATTTTTCTATTTTGTAGGACCACAAACACGGCATTAGTGACAATGGTGGCAATTCATGTGCTACAGAAGCTTCACAGCTGAAGTCATGCATCAGCAGATCTTTTCAGCTTATTGATGTAAGCTCTTTTTTATTTGGTGCTTGCTTTGCATTGTGTCTTTTTTTGTTTGAATGCATCTTAGTGTCAAAATTTGAATATGCTGTTATTATTTTCGTGTTTATATTCTATTTCATCTGGTTAAAGAAAGAGAAATTTAGAATATCTAAGTGATATCAATCACTGAAATTTTAATTTCATGAACGTGGAATGTGGAAGAGGGTGGGCCTTGGTGCAATGGTTGGGTTGCTCCATTGTGACCTGGGTGGGAGGGTTCAAATCTTGGAAACAGCCTCTGTATGTGCAGATGTAAGGCTCCGTACATCCGGCCCTCCCCAGACCCTACATTTGCGGGAGCCTCATGCACTGGGCTGCCCTTCTCTAACGTAGAATGTGGAATTCTGTGGTTAGGAATTGAATTTGCAGTTTATAGAAAGGCACAACAAACCTTTGGAGACAAATGATGAGTCTTAGAATAACACTTTTTCATTTTCTTTATTTATCTTTTTGATTGAACAGTGTTAACAGGAAGAGAGAAGAGTTTAATGTTATACAAGTCTTTGTCAACAAGCTTATGGTGTCATCTTATATTGGGTTAGTGATAGATGTGAACTATTGTGTTAACTACTTTTTTTGGAAAAGGTGTCCAGGGTTTAAAGTGGTTCCAACTGGCTATATTAAAAAGGAAGAGCATTACTAAGCAAATATCTTTTCTTTGCTTTTCATTGTATGACTTCCAGATCTCTTAAACCACATACCTGCAATATTGTGTCATTCAAGTGATTTCTAAGGAATACAAAGTACAACAATATATCTTATGCTTAGCATTTTTTCAAAAGGCTCAGGTTGGAAGGAGTACAAATGCAAATTTGTAGAGTGCAAAACCTTGTATTTTGTATTATTTTGTATGTATTTGCACAGTACATATTTGTATTTGTACTCCTTCCAAACTGAGCGTCTGAGCCAAAGGAAAAATGATTACCAAAAAGAAAAACTATATCACAATAACATTCCTCCTATAGACTGGATGAGGGGAAGGGATAAAATGTTATTATCCATACTTCCATAGGGCCTTAAATAGAGGCAATATTATCTTCTGTCCTGTTATTTTCTTTCCAAAGTTAAAGCATAATAAATAAATAAATAAATAAATAAAAGCAAATTGTGTTTATCTGTTGCACACAAGATGTCCCTATATTTCATTAGCCCATCATTTGGGTGAAGGATGTAGTGGGTCACTAGAGTTGGGTTAGAAGTCATCTTTAAAATTTAAATTATGGGTTTGAAGATGTATAGCTGTTTGCATTCCAAATTCTATAATTGAGATTGAAGCAGTTGATACATGAAAATGAACTAGGGAATCTTCATTATGTTCAGAGATGGGATCACAATACCTACTCCAACCACTGGGAAGTGATTATGTGGTGATTCGTGGGGATTGGGAGAGAGAGAGAGAGAGAGGTATGGTTGAGAGAAAAAAGTTCACTACTGGCTGCCGCCAGTTTTCTATTTATATTAACTTCATAAAAGAATTTGAAATTACAAGTATGCCCCTGACGGCATATCCTAGAATCAGAATAATAAGAAAAAGAAAGAAGAAAAACAAGTAACTGTAACTGCCCTACTAACAACAACTATAAATTAACAATTAAGCCTTACAACACTCCCCCTCAAGTTGGGCTGAAGATGTCTATCATGCCCAGGTTGTCACGTAACTCATTGTGCCGCGAGCACGGAAGCCCCTTTGTAAGGACATTAGCAAGTTGTTCCTTGGAGTTGACATAAGGGATGCAAATTTCCCTTTTTTCCAGTTTCTCCCTTATGAAGTGTTTATCCAGCTCAATATGCTTGGTCCTCTCATGTAGGACTGGGTTGCTGGCGATGTTTATTGCAGCCTTGTTGTCACAGTAAAGGGACATAGGACTATGAACAACAACTCCAAGCTCCCCTAGAAGGTTCTTTAGCCAAAGGACTTCAGCCACCCCATGTGCCATAGCTCTATATTCAGCTTTAGCACTTG